CCCCAAAACCCCAAAACCCCAAAACCCCAAAACCCCTAAAAATTATCTGGTTTTGAATTCTCATAATATTTAACTTTATTTCCATTATGGATCCACGTGTATTAAATCCAATAGGATTTAATATCAAAAAGACAATGCTCCTAGCATTAGCCTTTTGATTAATAATTCAAGGGGTTATGACTCAGGGAGCTCCCAAGCCTCAATACGGAGACTCTTCAAACCAATATGATTCATCAAATACTGGTGGATATCAAACTCAACAAACTCCTCCAGCTAATGATGGATATCAGCAGCAGCAACAACAACAGCAGTATTATCAGCAACAACAAGGAAGTGGAGGTTATAACCCTCCTCCAATGGGAAATGCCCCTCCTTCGGGAGGGAATATTCCACCTCCAACAGGAGGTAAAGTACCTCCTCCACCGGGAGGAGTTTCTTACGATGATGGACAGCAATATACTTATCCTCCAACAGGAGGACAACAGTACCAGCAGCAACCACAAGGTTCTCAGCAGCAACCACAAGGTTCTCAGCAGCAATATACCCAGCCTCCTGGAACCCAAAAATATACCCAACCTCCAGGAGCTGGACAAGGAGGGAATCCTCAAGGAAATTATGGAGGAAATCCCCAAGGTAGTTATGGAAGTGCTCCTTCTCAATATGAAGGAGCTGCTCCTCCATACAGCCAAGGAGCTCAATCTCAGCAATATACAGGAAGTGCTCCTCCTCCAGGTAGAATCCCACAGAATCAGCCTCCCCCACAAGGAGGTGCTCAAGATGATGAATACCAGAAGAGCATAATGGCTCAATGGGATGAACACATGGGTGATTTTGAACCAGCAGATATGTTGACAATCAGCATTCCTTCTAGAACGGATGAGACCTTCTACGAGTACGTCACGGAGGTCCCATCCAAGGTAAGAGGCGCATACTATATTGGATCTGGAGAGAAATAAACTCATTGATTTCTGGATCATCGACCCCTCAAATAGAATTTTTAACACTGTTCAAGGAAGGAATGAGGGATTATTCGTATTCGAAGCGAATCAGCAAGGCATCTATCAATTTGTATTTGCTAATTCAAGATATTGGGAGGCAAAGGACCTCACCTTTGCAATTCATTTCGGAAATCACACAGACGATCATGCCTCAGCCGAACACCTCGATCCAATGCATGATAGTCTAAGTCTAGCTCTCAAAAACATTAAAAATTTATATTCTGAAGTAAAATTTGCTGTTGGAAGACAAGACTCTCACAATATAACTGTACAAAATTCAATGAAGACAAACTTCTGGATTGCCATTCTGGAAACACTCTGCATCATTGGGCTTGCAGGAGCTCAGATCTTCTTCATCAAAAGGATTCTTCAGTTCAGAAAAGTAATCTAAAATCCAACTATTCTCAATTAAAACAACTATAAAAGGGGTTTTGGGGTTTTGGGGTTTTGGGGTTTTGGGG